CACACGCAATCGTTATTGCTCTCGCTTTCATTGTTAAAATTCACACTTGTAAATTTCACTGCTGTTGTTCTTCGTGTAATTTCTCTAACTTAGATTTTCTATAATAGTTCAATTTTGTTTCAGTGTCCTTTAGTACAACGACGATTCCTGATGAGTGTTGTACGAAAACTTGTTTGAATCCTTATTTTTCTCTACACTATTTCTTCATACTTCGAAGTATTTTCATCGTTTTATTGCACATTGTCTCCACGGTTTTACATTGCATGAATACAAAGTAGGGAGGGCCCGAATATGCTTGCGCATATTTTCGCATATTTTGTCCTTTTGACACAAGGTCGCATAAAGTAGCAAATCTAGCATATTATTGTTCCAAATGTAGCATATTTTGCTACAAGGAGGAAAGAATGGACCGTATGCGTGTTAAAACAAAATGGCGTCACGATTTATTGAAAGTGGTATAGTTGGTGGAACGAGTGTTCAAACCCATTTGAACTTCATACTGTTCGTCTTCTTTTTGACATGCTCTCTTTCCATCGTCCTTAGCTTTTGTTTGTTGAGAGCTGTTTTGGCTTTCTCCTATACCTCTGGGGGATGCCAAGTGATGGTTTTGAGAGGCTGGTGATGGCTGTGAGCGAGAGTTTGCCGATCGGCGTCGTCCTCGCTATAGCGATGAAAATACTAGTTACTGCGCACCTGGCAGATATCACAACACGTCGGAGCGTCCAGGAGCAAAGGAATCTTGGGTTTTCACTGGAATCTAGTTCCACCAGCATCGTGTAGCCCACCGTCGGTGAATGGCGGTCCAGAAAGGTCGAAACTGGTCTTCTGCAGCATCTCGCAGTCCTGCGAGGCACACTGAATACGCCTGTCATGTATTCTACAAATAAAAATCACGAAGTAGTGGACTTTACAGTGATGAGTCTATCCTGTATGCTGCAAAAGACGCAGGAAATGTGACTGGTGTCCGTACACTGGACGCCAATATCATCCCAGTCTTCTCCTGCAGGATCTGTTTGACATTGACATACCGGTATGCAGTGGGTCGACATTGGCCTGGTTTGGCAGCTATCTGCCTGGGTGGATGTAGCAGGTTTGCATTGGCGCGTCGTCCAGTCCGACATTTTCTTGTAACTGTGGAGTACCGGCAGGGTCTGAGAGGTTGCTCGTGCTGTGAACACATCTCTACTGCCTGTCTCGTCCTGGAAGTGCCGTCTCGCCGCTTCCTTGCTCTACAGTCACGCCGTTATTTTGCTTTGTTTCGTGGTGCAGCTCAAAACCTGCCCAAACAACTGTGAGCTCGCAACATGGTATGGACAAATTGCACCACTCATGCTGGTTAACTAAAACCGGGATAGTCGAGTAAGCGAGTTCACTCCCTGGGCCATGGCAAGATCTGTTCAATCGAGTCAGCGCGGGCTATTCCAACCTCCAAGTGCATAGTCACCGATCGATCCATGCGATGGTGGTTGACCTACAAAGAGCCAAGGTCTACGAGTACTACTATTGGATGCTGTCTACATGCAGTCAACAAAATCAAAGTACCTCAGTATGCCCCAGAACAGGGCATGTGCATCTATAGCATGACACAACAGGGGTTCTGGCGGCACCTGTCAAACAAGCAGTAGCGACTAGTGCCAGCTACCTATTGGAGGCTAGCCGCTACAGTCTGTCACTGGAGATAATTATTATGTTCACTGTTTAGACTGAGCACAATCAATGATGCCCAATCAATCTGCCCAATGTGTGTTCTGTTCCACCTAATTATAACGTCCCATCGCATCAACCCTACTACACGCACATGTCGTCACTCTAGCACGACTTGTGTTATTATTGTTTATTTTGATTCGCACGATAAATAGAGCACAATAAACGTTAACTTGACCGAAGGTTAAAGGCGACTGCAGATAGAGGAACACATCGAGGTACAGGTGCCGGCATCAATACAGTATCAGAGAGGTACGCAGAAAAAACTCTCGTAAGCCCAAGGGGGAGTGGTTGATGAGGGATGAATGTACTCTCCACGCTCGTCTACACTGTTCGTGGAAATGCACACATACATACAATAATATACAACATAGCAATAGCATGCACAGAACCGAACAATTTCATGTTCACACATGCAAGCACAGACCTGAACATTAGTACCAAAAGCCGATACAGACAATATCCCCATACACACAGACGCACACACACACAATGTCCCATGTATGCGCCCGTGGCGAGAAAAGCACGCAAATCTAAAAATGCACTGGATGTGAACCCACAGATTTTCTCTAATAGCAATGATAGCGGATCTGATTCTGAATGAAACACACACACAATACAATTATTGAATGCCCATCCGCAGATGATGGCAGGTCCTGAAAGAACAGGCAGTGTTCCAGTGATGGGGAACAGAACTTTGAGTGGCGAGTGAGGTATACACACACACGTGCGTGCGCGGGCACACACCAAAGTATGAAGAAATAGAATCGACATCGTAGTATTCATTGGTTGGGGAATGGAAAGGAAAATAAAACATTGCTGTAGGTTATTGTTGTAAGGACACTGGGAGCACAACAGAAAGGTAAGCAACTTGCTTTGAAGCAAAGAAAGTTATTATTCCACGGATCTCAGAAGGAAGGAACGTTCCAGAATGCTGCACTGGCAACAGGCGGCCTGCATGTGCGCGGCCCCTGCAGTCGGTCCAGCTGCCGGCCTTGCAGTGCTGAAAAGAATGTGCAGTACAGCATGTCACATAGTATCGCAGGCTGGACAAATAGGCGCTGGGAAGTCCTAGTTATGTGCTCACCTACACCACGATGCACCAATCTTCTGAGCTACTTTGGCAACAATTTTGTCCACTTGAGACTCCCATGGGCTGAGCCAGTTGTTGAGGGCTGCATCAAGGTGGACGGCAATGACCGCTGATG